TACAACCAAGCAAGCAAAAAACCCAGGATTGCAGATCAGCACTGTACTGGGGAGACCAGCTCGGTCGCTCACTCACGGGTCCACGTGAGAAACGTTTCCTCTGCGCGTTTGCTCTCATCCTGCACGTAAAGAATCACGTATCTCTAAGCAGCTCACTGGGGGCTTTCCGTGGGTGTGCTGGGCAGGTTTTGCCCAGGAATTGTAGAAGACAAGAAATTATGTGGAATCAGAAGGAAAACCAAAAGACAAAAAAAAAAAAAAAAGGAGAAATCTTGGATATAGCCAGTCCTTGAAATGGTGTGTGCCCCTTTTTAAGGAATGTGTTTCAAGTTGACAGCATTTTTTAAAAGACATTTCTGTTTGAGTTAGATGGAAAATTTTGACTGAATGAAACACCATTTTCCAAGCATTCCAGGAAGCAAAAATGATTCTGTAAATATCTCTTATATAAAGTTTTTTTTTTTTTTTTTTTTTAAAAACTCCCTCAAGGACAGGCTTGGAAAAGCCCCAAACTGTGTTTTTAACCAGTAAAATGCCAGCCTTTCACAATTTTTCCCTTCACAATTCTGTGATCCTACAGCCGAGTTTCAGGAATGCTAATCCAGCCATCAAACAGCTTGTTCTTTTAGGATGGCCAGATTTTCACGTGGATTGGCTTTTTGTGCCGTCTCCATCTCCAATCCAGTCCCCACCCGGCTATGCCAGCACTGCAGCCAGTGCAGTGGGGAGGCCAACAAGGAGCTAAACTGCTGCTTTTTGGTGGCCATCCTAGCTTTTTGATCATTTTCCAGACCTCTCTCCCCTATGGCCAGGACCTCCCACTAACAAAACACTCTTCTGCCAGGAGCTCTGATGACTGGCAGCTTCTTCCCTTTGAAGGAAGAGCCCCAGCACCGAACACAGTTTTGAGCCTAGCTACGGTGTCAGAGTCAGGCAAGACCCAGTCCTTGACGTCCCCCTCGATTCCCTCCCTACTCCTGATCACAAAACTGTCAGGTAAAACACAAGATATTTTATGCGAGAATTAACTCCCTTCTCTTGACAATTTCCAGAGACAGGATTTCAGATTGCAATCAAGTTTGAGAGCATTTATATGAACGCATATTCCCTTATTTGAGGCACATGCTGCATAGACACTTGTGTTTCATAATAGCTAAAGGCAACGCTCCAGGAGAGCGGAAGACGCAGCATTTTGCATGTTATCCCCCCTCAATCTGGAACGACTTTTCCAAAACAATTGCTTCACACTTTCCTTCAGCGCCGGCTCAGGATCCGTACACACTTTTGTTTGTTTTCTCTCTAGCACTTAGGCAATTCCCCACAGCGCAGGCTAGCGTGCCGCACGCGCAGACGTCGCGCTAGCTCTGCCCAGAACACGTTTCGCTCGTGCCAAGGGCAGACGGTCAGGGCACGCTTCTGAGCAAGGCGTCTCCGAGACAAGCTGCGGTATCAAACTGAAGATCTTAAGGAAATGGAAGCTGCTTTAAACAGTCATCTGCACGATGCAAAGGAGCAAAGCAGCAGCCAATCCATCGGCTGACGCTTGTTTCATCTTCCCAGATGAGCCACCACTTGGCTGTTTCGGAGAGGGCAGAGAAAGCCACGAGGTGCAACGCAAGTCTCAAAGACGCTGGTCAGGACCAGGGCATTAACCTCTCTTTCCCAAGCAGATCCATTCCTGACCACTTTAACAACCTCAGCCACCAGTTACAGACTCCAGCATCCCTACTACAACGCAGCATGTCGCCTGGGCATCTGCATCCTTATGTATTAAGGCACATCTAACAGTACTTAAAGCTCTGAGGACTTCAAGGAGAACAGCCTGGTATCAGGTAGCTAATATAGATGGGCTTCCATAAGAAAAATGTTCAAAACAAAACAGTGAGGGTGACAGAGCACTGAACAGGCTGCCCTGAGAGGTTGTGGAGTCTCCTTCTCTGGAGATCTTCAAAACCCGCTTGGACGCAGTCCTGTGCCACGTGCTCTAGGTGACCCTGCGTGTGCAGGGGGGTTGGACTAGATGATCTCTAGAGGTCCCTTCCAACCTTAAGCATTCTATGATTCCATGATAATTTGGGTAACATCCCGAGTATCATTTCCGCAAGTGAAACAGCTCTCGCAGAGAGTCCACGTTTTCATCACTGCTCTCACTTTTGACAATAAACCCATACAGAACATAACTTGGATATCAGCATGTTTTTCCAGGGTTGCTGAAGAGGAAGGGAAGGTGGCAGGCACCTGTATTTTTCTGGGAAAATGTAACCTAGCCCTAACTGTCGTACATAAACCACAAGTGAAAAAACACGAGTGGTAACGCACGAGTATCTGAACAAACGACACGGGGATTGCGGTGATTTGAAGAGCCCCGAGATGACAAACCACTTGGGCTCTGGCATGAAGTCAACAAGTGGGAATTCTGATAGACACTTTTATAGAATTTTATAGGTTTATAAAATAGTCAATGGCAATTGTAAACGCAAAGAAAAATGCAAACCCAAGCATTTGTAGCACAATATTGCTGGGACTGCAGGAGCGTGTTTTGTGCTCCTTACCATCTATTTTACCAACAACATTCAGTCTATTAGGAAAAACAACGGTTCTCTTACAGCAGGTCTTGTAAATGTCTCACAGCACCGCAGTTTTGGATGAGAGGGGGGGCACATAACTTGGAAACAGCTTAAAAACTAACAGCAACAATAAAAATATAAAAATGAGGGGCGCATACTGTGACCTTGCAAATTGCTTTCTCCTCAGAAACCGTGCCACATCCATCCAGATTATAGATATCCTCCCATTTCCAGGCTGGCACACAGCCAAATCCCAAGCCATCAAGCTGTTTTCTGCATGAGTTGTGACGGCATTAAAACAAACGGGGGTCCCCTAAGCCGCCGTAACTGCTTTCCCTCGCCGTGATAACATTTGGAAAGAGAGCCGTCCTGCCCCTGCGCGCCTCAAGCCCCGGCGCAAAAGACCTTGCGCGCTGCTCGCTGCAAAAACAGCAGCTGTACTATGTCCAAAGCCCTTTTCTTTCCCTGAACCTTCCTTGACCCTGCGCTCCCTTCCCAGCAGTAAATCCTTTCTAAAGAGTGTGCGAAGAGGGGGAGAGGAGGGGAGGGGAAGGGACGCTATTTTTTTTTTTCTTTTTTGGCCATAATACCGATTCCTGAGGGTTTCCAGGGACGCAAACGTGCCTGCTCTGGAGCAGGCCGGCTGCCGCAAGGCTGGCCGCGCGCGCGGGCCGAGCGAGCACCGCCAAACGAGGGGTTTAAACGCATTAACACTCAAGAGCACTTAATGCTGTCATGGAAACCAGCAGCCCAGGCCCTGCCTGGCGCGCAGCTGACTCCCCATTTATCAAGCCGAGAGGTCACTCCGCTCCGGTTTACTGCTAAGGAACGTCCTCGTCCTCGCTCCTGGGAGGGTCCCGAGCCCACTGCCAGGCAATGCTACCCTGTACGCTCCTACGCGACCATCCAGGCCACGACAGCAAATTCGGAAAGGGACCGTCGCGGAGAGGAGCGCTGCCTCTCCTCCTGTCCCGGGCCTTCTAAGTATGAAGGAAATGAAAATAAAAAGATTCGCTTGGGTTTTAACCGCAAGGCGATCTCTTGCTGGCTACCTACAGAAATTATTCCAGCGGCAGAGAAGGGGGTGGAGGAAGGCTAAGAGAAACCACACAAAATGCCTTGGCTCCCTTCCGAGCGTACA